CCTTCCTCAACCAGATCTCTTCAGCCTTGCTGCTGCATTGCTGCTGGCTTGGGGCTAAGGGATTAGGGCGGGTAGCAGGACCTACCTTTGGCAACTTGTCGCCTAAGGGTGAGCAGTCATCCTTGGTGAGCATCTCGGTGCTGACACAGGGCTCACTCCTCTGGCTGCCCCCTGAGGCAGCTGAGGGAGAAAAGGCGGTGCAGAGCCCGCCGGGCCATCTTGGCCATGGAGCGCCATGGCCGTGGGGCCAGGGGCTGTGGGACTGTGGCTATGCCAGCAGTGGAAGCAGGGACCTGGTGTACTAGGGGCTGGGAAAGCACTGGGGAAACCCCAGGCAGCACACCAGCCCCACAGGGCTTTTCCTGGGGAGGGGTGGCCTGGGCACAGCCAGCCTCCATGCCTGCAGCATCGACCTCCTCCACAGTATCAGCAGGTGAGGCACAAACCGCAGACATCTCTGAGTCTTCTGGCAGTGCCATGGGGAAAGGCTCACTGAGCCCCTCCTCACAGGGATCAGTGTCCAGGGGAGAAGCTGCTGGTTCTGCTTCCTCCTCTTGCAGTGGTAGGGACAACTCGCTCTCTGGCTCACTGTCGCCCTCTCCTGCATTGTCTCTGTCAGGGAGCTCTTCTTCCTCCCACTTTGCCAGCAGCTGGTCTAGCCGAGTGTCCCTGGACGGCGCATCCTCGTTGTTAAAGAGAGACCACAGCTCTTCAAACAGGTCGGGAGGCACAAGCTGTGCATAGTTTTCAGTCTCTCCTGTACAGTCTTTGGTCCAGCTGCAAAGGCTGTGCTGGACCCAGGAGCTTTCTGCATCCAGGGAAGCAAGGACCTCGTCCTCCAACTTCTCCAGCTCTTCTGCCTCAATTTTCAGGAGATGATCAGAATCATCTTCCGGCCCCGTGCACATCAACTTACCATGTGTTGTTTGCTCTGGCAGCTGACAAGTTCCCCTCTCCACACTGGAGCTTCCGGATAAGGGAGATGCTGAGAAGCATGAGGTTTCCTCAGCTTCTGACATGGGGAAAAGCCTGCTGTGCCCCTCATCCCAGGGATCTTTGTCCAGGTCAGAAGTTGCTGCCTCTGACTCTTCCTCACTGCGAGGAAGAAGCGATGCAACCTGTGGGTTGCTGTCCCTGTCTCCTGGAGCCTCTCTTTCTGGGAGTTCTTCTTCCTGCCACTTGTCCTCTGGCTCTTTTGGAGAAGTTTCCCAGTCCTGTGAGTTGTCAGAGACAGACTGCTGCTCTGGCAACCAGGCAGGAGACAGGAGCTCAGAGGAATTTTCACTGTCTGTGTTGGAGCCTTTGTTGAAGCCGGGAGCTCTGTGCATCACCTGGGTCTCTGCATCTGCCTCTTGGCAGAGACTTGACTGCTCCTGAGTGCAGGTGGACTTGGTGAACCTTTCTCCAAACTGGCATGAGGCAAAGCCTCTAAATGGCTCTCCATTGGTGTTGCCACCGTGCTCTTCCTGCACCTCAGTGTGCCCCTCTGTCTCGGTGTGCTCCATGTGCTTCCAGGCAGTCTGGGTCCCTGTGCGGAGCAGCGTGCCACCTGCCCATCGCAGGGATGGCAGGCGATGGCCCTGCCTTGCTGCTGACCCTCGCCAGAGCCTTTCAGCTGAGCTGTCCAGGGAAGGTGTTTCCCTGGCCCCATACGCAGCCCTAGTGCCCCATGGAGAAGATGGCACTAGGTCTCGGTGGCTGCTGGCTACGTGGCCTGCGGACTGTGCTCTGCCTCTGGGAGAAGACCCAGAGGCTGCTGGGGCTACTGGCAGAGGGGGCAGCTTGATCTGTGCCGAGGCTGCTCTTGGCATTGCAGGGCTGGAGGTGTCACCATCAATGAAGGGCCATGGAGAGGCGGCAAGTCCGACACGGACAATCTTGGTGGCCGTGTGACTGTGCCAGTGAGGGGCACTGAGTGCCCTCCCTCCAGGCTGTCCTCCTGTATTCCATGTCCTTTGGGTCTCCATGAAATGTCCTGTCTAGGGATGAGTCTGTCATGGTGGAGGGGCGTGACAGTCACTAATGTGACCTCCGCTGCTTCCCGCGGCAGCCTCTGGGGCACCTGTGGGAAGCAGGGGAAGGCGTATGATCGAGGTGGCTGTATGGGCACGCTGTCCTGACTCATTCCGGCAAGCCTGGCCTTGGCCAAAGGGCAGATACTGACCATGGCAGCCAGGCCCAGGCTTGGTTCCCAGCTGCGCTCGCTGTCTCTGGGCCATTCCCTCACCCAGGCCATCCGGGCACCGGCTCCTCCCCAGAGCAAGGCCTGGAGCCAGGCCTGGCTGCCACTCTCTGCTCCCAGCCTTCCCCCAGTTCCCACTGCAGCCTTTCCCTCAATTCCCATCCCTCACCTGTTGCCGCTTGGACAGCAGCGGCTGCCCCTCACGGGACTGGCTGCGTGGGTTCATGTCGTGTCTCTTGGACATCTTGGCAGTGCTCTGATGAACACTGGCCAAGATCACCCAGGAGCGCTGCTTCCTTCTAAGGAGCTGCTGCCTCGTGAGAGAGCTGCTGCCTCCTCAGAGAGCTGCTCTCCTGAGAGTGACAACACAGGGAGTTTGGCCCTACAAGAGCCCTCCAGGTCATGGCATGGGCCTGTGTCACAATGGCCTCTGGGCACGATGCAACTGCAGGTCACAAAGGCCTGGTGGGCACGGCCACCCCTTGTCATGGAGAGACATGGCGACCTTGGTCACAAAGGCCTGCTCTAGGCCTTTGCCCCTTGACTTTTCCTATACTACTTCCTCTCCCAATGACCTGCAGCTCTCCCTTTTCCCACCTTGTGTGTTCCTCTCCTAAAGAGCCCCAGAGAAGCCCTTTGTTCTGCCAAACTGCTTTTCCCACCCAGCCCACCAGATGTCCCACCCCTTAGCTCCCACCTCATGTAGAAAGACAAATCAGGAAGGCAAAAATCATTAGCACTTCACCTCGCCCCTACTGTAAAAACAAATTAAAAAGTGTTCATTTACAAAGATTAGCAACAACGGAGGTGAGCCAGGGAAAATCTTCATTCTTTATTGGATATGCAGTGGGCATATGTTTATGAAGGTGAGGAAAAGGCTGAGCTACTGAAGGTCTTCTTTGCCTCAGTCTTCAACAGGCAGATCCATTCTCCAGAGGACAAGCAGTCCCCTGAGCTGCCAGACAGTGAGCAGGAGCAGAGCAGACCCCCTGCAGTCCTAGAGGAAATCATTAGTGATCTGCAGAGCCACTGAGACACTGACAAGTCAGTGGAGCTGGCTGGGTGTCCTCCAAAGGTGCTCAGGGAGCTGGCAGAAGAGCTCGCTAAGCCACTCGCCATCCTTTATTATCAGTCCTGGCCTGTCGTGAGGTCCCACATGGCTGGAGGTGGCTGTGCGACACCCATGCTCATAAGGGCTGCAGGGAGGATGCAGGGAACTGCAGGCCTGTCAGCCTGACCTCAGGGCCCAGCAGGGTTCTGGCGCAGATCATCGTGAGGGGGATCACAAGGCCCAGAGAGGGCAGCTGAGGGATCAGGCCCAGCCAGTGTGGGTTTAGGAAAGGCAGGTCCTGCTTGTGAAACATGATGTCCTTTGCGGAGCAAGTGACCCTCCTCAGGGCTGAGGGAAAAGCAGTGGATGGAGTGTCCCTGGGCTTGAGCAAAGCTTTTGACTCCCTCTCCCACAGCACATTCCTGGAAAAGACGTCAGCCCAGAGCTTGGGCAGGGGCAATCTTGGCTGTCTTAACCATCAGGATGGCTGTGTCCAGACAATGGCTGGGAATGGAGCTGCAACGAGTTGGCATTTGGTCACTAGCAGTGTCCTCTGTGCCCTGTCCTGTTCAGAGTCCCAACAAGGCCCTGCAGTGCTCCAGGCTGGGAGCAGAGTGGCTGGAAAGGTGCCCAGTGGAAAAGTCCCTGTGGTTGCTGACCAACATTGGCCAAATATGAGTTGGCATATGTCCAGGTGGGCAAGTAGCAGGGTGGCCTCCTGGTCTTCTGTGTCTGCACTAGTGTGGCCAGCAGGACAAGGGAGGTGATTGTCCCTCTGTTCTGGGCACTAGGGAGGCCACATTATATTCTGTATCAAGTTCTGGGCCCCTAAATTCAGGAAGGACATTGAGGTTTTGGAGTAGTTCCAGAGAAGGGAACATAGATGGTGAAAAATTTGGAGGCCAACTCCTGTGAAGACTGATGGTGCTGGTGTTGTTCAGCTTGGAGAAAGGGAGGCTCAGGGGAGATTTTATAGGAGGCTCTATAACTGCCTAGGTGGAGGCTCTATCCAGCATGGGGTTTGGTCTCTTCTCCCAGACAACTAGTGGTAGGACAAGAGGACATAATCTCAAAGTGTGTCAGGGAGGTTTATTTTGGACACTACAAAGAATTTTTTCACAGAAAGGATAATTAGATACTGGAATGGGCTGCCCTCGGAAGTGGTGGAGTCACTGTCCCTGGAGACATTTAAGAAAAGACTGGATGTGTCAGTGCCATGGTTTACTTGACATGGTGGTGTTCAGTCAAGGACTTCATGATCTCAGAGGTCTTTTCCAGCCCAGTTGATTCTGTGATTGTTTTGAGTCCCTTTACATTCCTCTTTTAGGCAGACCATGCGTCCCTGTGTGTGCTGTGGGTGATGACATGGCACCTGCTGAGCCCTTTGTGAAGGTCTGAGTTTGCACATCACAGAACCACAGAGTGTTTTGGGTTGAAGGGACCTTAAAGATCATCTACTTCCAACTGCCCACCCAGCATAGGCAGGGATGCCACCCACTAGGTGAGGTTGCTCCAAAGCCCACCCAGCTTGCTTTAACACTTCCAGGGGTGTTCAGGGGTGTTCAGGGGTGTTCAGGGGTGGGGCATCTGCAGTTTCTCAGGGCAACCCATTCCAGTGCCCTGCCACCCTCACAGAAGAGAATTTCTTTCTAATATCTAATCTAAATCTTTCCTCTTTTAGTTTAAAACTGTTCCCCCTTGTCCTATAACTATCTGATCCCTTTACTGTGGTTATCTAGTCTCATCACTGTGATTCTGACTCTTTAGGGAGAGCCCCCATCTCTAGAGACTTTGAGGAGACTTATCCAAGAGGAATTATCCAAGCAGCTAGATGGTAAGTAATCAGTACCAGGAAGCCAGAAGATGGATCTGAGAGTATGAAATATGCTTTCCAGAGCTGTGCTGGTACCTGAACCTCTCCTGCTTAAGGAAGATAGAATTGCAGCAAGCTTGCTTGGAAGATGTGTGATATGATATGTGTTTTACAGTTCCCCAGGCTTTGATTTTCCCAGCAATAGCACAGAAAGTAATCAGAGTAGATCATAAACTTTCTTTTGAGGGCCCAACTGGAGAAGAAATGTTCATGATTTTTGCCTATGACTTATGATACTCATCAGTATAAGAAGAGGGGTTGGAGGGGATATAGACTGCTGTTTCTCTCAAAGTATGAGAATTGCAGACCACTACTGACCCTATTGACAGTGAGATGCAGAGCTGTAGTCCTCACACAGCTCTTGATGCAGCTGACACACAGCTGCAGGCATTTTGTTCTGTACTAAAGATCACAGGTAAACAGGGTGATCATTTCACAGATTTTATTTACACACTCTCATTCTTCAATATCCACACCAGTCTGAAAGCATTTAAGATCAATGAAAAGAAGATAGAACACTCTTCTCCCTCTATTCTGTAGAATGTTTATGTGATGCTGAGTGTTTTATGAGCTCTCAAGGTTGCTGTCATGGTGTAACCCCAGCCAGCAGCCAAGGCCCACACACTGCTCACTCTCTCCCCCACCAGCAGGATCAGGGAGAGAATCAGAAGAGTATAAGCTGGAAAACTCATTGGTTAAGATAAAGACAGTTTAATAGGTACAGCAAAAGCTGCACTCAGAAGCAAAAATTAACTCCCTGCTTCCCATGGGCAGGCAGGTGTTCTGCCATCTCCAGGAGAGCAGGGCCCCATCACAGGTAATGGTTACTTGGGAACAAAAACACCATTACTGCAAATGTCCCTGCTTCCTTCCCTCACTTTGTACACTGAGCTTGATGTCACATGGTCTGGAATATCCCTCTGGTCAGTTTGGGTCACCTGTTCTGGCTGTGTCTCTTCCCAACACCCCAAATTTCCTCCCCAGCATGGCTGTACAAAAAGCAGAAAAGGCCTTGGCTCTGTGTGGGCCCTGCTCAGCAATAACAAAAAGATCTCTGTATTATCAACACAAATCCAAAACAGAGCCCCATACCAGCCACCATGAAGAAAATTAACTCCACCCCAGCCAAAACCAGCATGATTGCTCAGGCTCTTAGCACTGAGGTGGCAGGCAGTGTGTGCCTGCCTGGAACAGCCTGGAACAAGAAAAGCTTTCTCCCTACACACCAGCCATGTAGCATCTCAGCATCACAGAAGCAGTAGGAAAAGACTCTCCTTTTCAGAGCAGCAGTGGTCCTAGTTTAACAGGGATCCACCATCTACACAACTAAAGGGAAGGGACATTTCAGATACTTAGAGGACAAGGAGCAGAGGAGGAGAGAAAGGTTTATCATAAAGTATGGAATTTAGGAGAAATTCAAAGCTACCAAGAAATGAGATTTAAACAATTTAGAGAGGATCAGGGAGTCACAATCATGGATTATGGGGGGACAGAAAAGAGGTGGCCCTGGAAAATTGATCTGTGACAATACTTGGGACTTTACTGGGCCCCTCGTTCTGCCTCTCTGTTTCTTGGAGCTTAGTCCTTCTAGTCTAACCCATTTCCCTCTTTTCACAGTAAAGTTACCCTACATCCTGGCTCAGATACAGCCTGCACAGGTAAAAGCATCCCATGGCAGACCAGGACCTCCTGGTCCCCCTGGGAAGGAAGGACTCCCAGGAAGAACTGGCCCTCCTGGGGAGCCTGGCCGGCCTGGGCAGACTGGGTCTGAAGGGCCACCTGGACCAATTGGTCCCAAAGGTAAGTGAAACATGGTGTGTTGGGGCAGTCCAATAAAAGGATGTGTCCACTGGACTTTCCTTTTAGTAATTTATAAGTTAAACCTTTCCTTTTAGCAGTTTATAAATTGTCCTCAAAATGCAGGTGTTGGAAGCTACCTCTGTTGAACCAGAGGTGTTGAATATGACCAGCAATTGCTGGTGTGTTGCACCTCTGGCCAGAATTACAGTAGGGCAAGTCTTCATTCCCACTTAATGTCCTCTTTCAGAGGATTGGCCACAATTAGGAACTGTTTTTATCAAATATATTGGCTTCAATGTGGATGGAAGACCTATACTAGTGCTTAGTTCTGTAAACCATGCTCATCAGTTCATATTTTTTCTTTCCCTCTCTACAGGAGAAAGAGGAGCAAAGGGGGAGAAAGGAGACACTGGCATTGGTCAGCGAGGGGAAATGGGTCCCCCAGGAATTCCAGGTGTGTTATTCAGAACACCTCACCAAACACATCACTTAGAACCACTGCCAGGACATGGGTCTCTGCTATACTGGAGAGATGATCAGGATGACATAAAAACAACAGACACGATTTCTGTAGGATGTGGCGCAAAGGGAAGAACTGTATCATTAACATCACATCTGGCCACTTTTATTTCCTCAGCCTGATGAATGAGTACAATGAACTATCTCAGTTACAGCTAAGTTAACTGACCTTTGGGTCAAATCCAAAGTGAAGCTTTAATTATTAAATGCACTGTGAAGTGTTTTCTCTGTCCTTGGCAGAGTCTTCCTGTGACTAAGCTGAACCCAGAGGTTCAGGCAGCTTCAGATATTATGAAAGGTCATATTGAACACCTGTGCCTTGGGGATACAGCTTCTGCTTTACTATTACTGACAAAGCAGCAGCAAATACAGTTTGTCTGCAGTCTGAAATTAGGCACCATTGATAACTTTTGCCTTCACTGCTTTCTTGGGAAAGGAACTATGGGAAGCCCTCATAACCCCATTGTCTGCAGATCTGGCAGACTGGCCTTGCATTGCCTTCAAATAACAATGTGCCCACTACGCTCTGCACCAGTGAATTATCTCCTCAGGCTGGCTCTTGCCTCCACTTTCCCATTCTCACCTCCTCTCTGTGAGAACTGTATGTCGTTAGTTGTCTCGTGCATCTCCATAACTTCAGCATGGAGGTAGAAGAGCAGCCATATTGGAGCTGAGCATCCCAAGGTTGCCATAGGGAGTGGAAATCTTTATTTCAGAGGAGACACTCTGGTTGTATCCTTGAGATACATCCTAGCCAAATCCAAACCTATGGAAGCTGCTGTCTGCATCCCAGTTTGGCAGCAAAGCCATCTCCTGTGACGTTCCACTGCTGAGTACTGCACGCTGGGCATGTCACTCTGCTGCCACTCACCAGAGCATTTTGTTTCTCTTTCAGGCCTCCCAGGGGAGCCTGGTTATGCCAAAGATGGGATGCCAGGACCTCCTGGCCCTCAAGGTGAAGCTGGTGTGCCAGGTCTGGCAGGTCCCCAGGGGCCCCCGGGAGCCAATGGACAGTGTGACCCCTCTCAGTGCGCTTACTATGCAAGCCTGGCTGCCCGGCCCTCCAATGTCAAAGGGCCATAGTGTGCAGAGAGCACCCCCAGACTTGTTTTGAAAACTTGAATTCCTCACACCTGCCAAGAGCTCTCCAATGTCTTCAGCTGCGTTTCTTTCGCGGGAGGCCTTCTAAAGCCAACAAATGCTGCCGGTCGGTCAGATTATTTTTATGAATTATAATTATTATTATTATTATTATCTTTGATGTGATATGTGAACTTATTTTTTTGTTTGTTTTCTCTAACATCAGGGCATATTAAATTGCTAAAAATAAGTGGGTTTTTTCCTCTTTTGAAAAGCATATAATAGCAATGTGTTGTGTGACTGTTTATGCAAAACCATTCCAATGCCAAATTTTTTATCTGTTATCTGATTAATTTTTTCCAAAGCTTTATCCCTCACCCTTTCAGCTCAAATGAAATCCTGCAGCCTAGAGCATTAACTGTGACACACAGGCACAGGATTGTTGGTGCTATTTGCCATCCACATGGCAGGGAGGAAGATAAAGTCATACCAAAGCTGGAAAAGGTGTCTCCAGTATATCCAACTCCCAGTGGACAATTTTGAACAGCTAGTGCGTGCTTTCCAGAAGTTCCCTGTTAAATTTAATATTCTTCTGCTGATAAATGAATCAATATGCTATAGGAGCTACTTTTTCATGGAGTCATGTGGGATTTCATAGTAAAGGCCTGAAGGGATGCACAGAAGATCTCAACCTCTCTGTACTGGAGAGTTTTTTTCCAAGAAGTGGAGCTTACTTACCTCTGTCAGGGAGATGCATTTACAAGGTTATCCTCTGTCAGGTCAAGGATGCCAAATCCCCTGTGCAATGTCAGCACATGCACAGCTCCCTACCACTGCTTCACCCAAAAATCAACCAGAGCAGCATAGAAAGCCCCCTGGTATTAAAAACTCAGGAAGCCAACTGTGACCCAATTCACTGTTTTGGTTGATCCATTATGACAATAACTTGGCAAGTTTTGTTACTTAGAGGGCTGGTGCATAGTGCTGGCTGCCTGGTCTAGGAGGATGCTGATCTTTGATGAAAGGATCAGAGCAAAGAAATGTTCATAAACATGGGGGAAATTGTGTTTGATGGTGAAAGCAACAAGCCAGACAGTGGCCATTTCTCCCTATCAGCTAATTGCCAAAATCAACCTGAGAGTGCAAAGACAAAGTAAAAAGGGGATGGAGTCTGAAAAGACCTTCGCAATAGGTGAGCTTAACCCTCTGACCAAGCCATGCCCACCCACCAAGTGCAGATCTGAGAAGTGATCAGGCCTCGGATATGTGCCAGCCAGCAAAGCAGCTGCGTTTTCAAACCTCTTCTGCACAAAGCAGTTTGTAGTGAGAGATGGGAGTAATGGACCTGACACAGGCACTAAGTGCTGAATGTGTTTGGGAATCTGGTCTGCTCTTCTGGAGACAGAAAACAGGCACCTTGCCCTGCTAACACATTCTCCATATGGCATGGTGCTTCCAAACTGGCCAGCCCAAGCAGAAGCCACAGCTGTTGATAACCAGCCCAGAATCATACCCTGAGGCTAAAGCGCTGAGATAAGCTTTTGCCAGTCTTGGAGTCTTTTCTCACCCAGTAGCAGATAAAATTTGCCTCTGCTTTACTGAAAAATGAAATTAAATAACAAGTTCAAATGCCAGGGTTAAACAAAGTCTTTACTGTGTAGCTCTTAATGGTGCTATTTTTGCTATTTCCTATGCAAATAAACTCTTTGATTTGATTTTACTGTGTTTCTTGCTATGGAAAGACCAATTAAAGTGAAAATACCATGAAGTAAAAGCTTACCACTTTTAAGTAACTCTCAATGGTATATCTGTTACTGTACTGCATCTTGGGTTAGCTTGGTGGATTTTAGTATTAAGCAAACATACTGATCACATGTTTGACAGAAGCCTTTTTCTTAGTCCAGGCTGAGATTTCCTCCCTCCAGTGGTGAGGCAGAACAGGGTCCCTATTTGAGAGCACCTCCTAACATGGGAAGAGACATTGTTTTGGGTAAATGTGGTGGTAATGAACAAGTGTTATGGAGGTCAAACATGTTAATTGTGCCATGCAAATGTGACATTTAATTCCTGTCATGATGGTGACCCCTTCGTTTCTACAGGCTCTCATCATGTGTGTCTGATGTGCCATGCATGTCATAGAATTCAGTACATTCTAATGCACCATGAGAAGGGAACCTACATAATGATGTTCTGTTAAACAAATTTCAGGGTCTTTAACTCCTGTGAGGTCATAGAATCATAGCATAATTTGGCTTGGAAGGGAACTCTAAGGGCCATCTAGTGCAATCCACAGTAGGTGAGACAATGCAGTGGCATCCAGTTGAAGGAGATGAAAGGGTTTTTTTGATAACCTGTTTAATTTGAACATCTGTGGGAGCCATTTCCAAGAGTCTGTATTTGGAACACAAGGGAAACACTTGCATCTTTAATAGCAATTGAAAAATCTGCATGAGCTAGACACAGACTACATCTCTGAGCATTGCCCACCCGTAAAAGGGGACACAGCCTAATTCCCTTTGCTTCAGCATATTCCCTAGCATATGGCTATCTGCTCAGTCTGTTCCCAGAGACACCCCAGACTGTCTCTGTGCCCTGAATTCAGTGGGTGCCATTTCCCTGCTTTTTCTTAAACCTTGTTTTCTCTCCAGCCAGTTAAATGACATTTACCAGGCAGAATCTGTTGTTAGTGAGCAGAGTACATGAGCTGCAGACCCTGATCAAGACCCATGTTTGTACTCACCCAGATTTTAGTCATCAAAGGGAGGTTTCTGTAGCTGCCACCTCTTAGAGAAGCAAGCCCTACAAGAATGTGCCTAAAAGGACACCTGCAATAAGAGGTAAGAAAGGAGGATGTATTTGGAGGATTTCAAAAACTACCACAGTTTTTGCTTCAGTCTGTTTGTGTGTATTTTCAGTCTTTGTAAAGGTGGCCTGAGATTACTTTCCAAAGTAGATCTGCCATCTGGGAATCCAGTAAACCTACAAGTACTGCCCTGGGCATGGTCAGAAGCTGCTCTCCAGAAAATGCAGGTGCCTCTATGCCTGAGCAGGTGACAGTGTGTGCATTGTCTGTCCAGAACTGTGCCAGGTGAACACACAGCCAGGAGGTGGCAGGTAGGACAGGGACAGTGCTGGTGGCTCTCTCCTAAGCAACCCTGAGTAAGGGAAAGTTGCGGCTTTGGCATCTCAGTGTTCCTGTGTCTGCAACCAAGTGTGTGGTAAATCACCATTCTGTTCACTGAGTCTGAGGTTTAAACCTGGGAATAGACTGATTTTTCGGTTGGATTTTGTTTTGGCCCTGTGGCAATATACTGCTAAAATTGCATTAGAGAGCGAGACAATATATTATTCAGATTTTTAAAAGGAACACATGGGATTTATGGCACCACTGTCAGTTGCTCTTTTTTTTTTTCCTATTTTTAAATCATTTGTAAATTACAGTAATTATAGCAAACAAACCATTATTTCATTCAATTTTTGCCTGTCAAATAAACAAATTACAGAGACAGAACAAAGCAACAGGATCATTGGGGAAAATATATTTTTTTGTGTTAAATTATTTAACAATTTCCAAACAGTTTTGAATTAGCTGCTTTTTGGAAGCTGTATCAAATGCCTGTGGGCTTTTTTTTCTTTCCATAGAGACAATAAAAACACTGTGTCAGCTAAGCCCAAACTCTGTGCTCTGGCCACAGAACTGGTTAGGAGATGAACACAGATTTTGCATTCTGAGCAACTATTAAAAAAAAAAGTTTAAAACTTACATTTAAAAAAAGCCCCCAAAAATAGAGTCTTCTGTTTATTCAGCCTTTTAATGTGGAAACTGGCCAAGCTCTGCCCTGTTAAAGATTGCATTTGACAGCTTCTGTAGGACTGGTGCCTAGGAATGGCTGGGTGTCACCATGCACAATTCATGGCGCCAGAGACACTGACAGGGACTGGCAGGTATGATGTAGGACCTAGGGGAGCCTTTCCAGAGCTTCAGTGGGTGACCCCAGGGGACAGCACATCAAATAATGTAAAATGTCTGTGTTTGGGTACCTCAATGCCATGCTCAGTCTCTCACAGTGAGATTCAGAGTCACAGAACATAGAACTATAGAATTTCCATAGTTGGAAGGGACCCACAAGGATCATCAAAGTCCAGCTCCTTGACTTTAAGGAGTCAAGCTGTGGTTTGACCTACATTTTGGTGGCTACAATGACAGCTGTAGAACCTGGAGATCCATTCAGCTTATCCTAAAGAACTGCAGCACTCAGAGCCGTGTTACCTGTAGCATTGTGTGTTTTATATGGGTTTGTTGTAAAGTTGGTTATTTTTTACAAGTTAAGAATTTGGTTTGACCCTCGGTTCCCCCCATGTTCTCCCTCATAATGGTTCATTCCTTCCACCAGTTACCTGTCAATCAATGTAACCAACCCCCTTTCATTTCTAGACATTTCTACGTCAATCTTCCCTTACCTAACATATGATTTGTCCTCTGAGCCTTTTCCCTGCCCTGGGCCATTCCCATTGGTTCAGTTTTGTCCCTCGCTCCTCCCCTGGGCTTCGTTCATTGGTCCCTCGTGTCTCCTTCCATTACACCCTTCCCCTTTATCAGTGCCTCCCTAATGGTTTTCCCCTGACACCGTTACTGGCCCTGCCTGGGTCAATAAAGCGCCTTGGCATCCACACATGTGTCCACTCCTTTCTTCCTTCCCAGTCCTGCTCTCGCCTGCGTCACCACACCGCAGACAGAGCCACTACCCAGGGGCTCTCACAGAGGACCTGGGAATGGTGGGATTTGTAGTCTCCACCGGTCACTCCGGGAGCGGCTAGCCAGCCCCGTCAGCTCCAGTGGCCGTGGGACGAGAATGCAGTTACCTACATTAACTACATCTCCATGGAAAAGAGATCTCTTGGGAGCTGTCTTTATCTTCCACCCTCAGTAACTCACATTCCCCCTGAGCTGGTGTGGGGATATTCATGTCACAGGTGATGGCAGGTCAGGTGCTCTGTGACCAGCAGCCAGGCTGCTCACAGGGAGAGGGGCAAGGTTATGGCAGGAACTTGGACTGTCCTTGGGCAATGAAAACTTCCTTAAAATTACTGTACTAACTCAACAGTTACAAGACAGACTGAAAATAAATCTACTTTCAGCCTCTGTGAGCTGGAGCCCCATGCTGAGGAGGGTTAAGGTGGCTTCTCCATGGCATGGCAGGAAGAGCAGCATAAGGATGAAGCCAGTCTGGAGTTGAAGGCA